GAAATTTTGGAAGAGTGTTCCCTATTGAAGTACAACTCAAATATTTCAAATTCAGCCCCAAGCTATACATGATACTCAAGCAGGGGCATATGAAAGTTTCTGCAGGAAAATTACTAACTCGGCAACCAGAACAGCTGGAAAACTGAAATTTTAGGCTGACGTTCCCTGTGCATAATGCAATTTTAAAATTTCAAATTCAGCTTTCCAAGCACGTGGAGTGCCCGAATACGGATGTGTGAGGGTTTTGGAGGGAAAACTGCTAACTCGTTAGCTAGAAAAGCTGAAGGGCTGAAGTTTTGAGAGAATGTTCTCTGTCCAAGTACAACTTAAGTATTTCAAATTCGGCGCTCAGGTATGCGTGGTTCTTATGTACGAGCACTTAAAAGTCTTGACGCAAAAATTTCTCACCGAACAACTAGGTTACTTTAAAAGAACGACTGTTAAATGGAAATTATACACTTACTTTGCAAAATTTATGGTGATTTATGCCAGTGACCGCAGCAGGTAGGTGTAAAGCAAAGCCATTCATACAGTTAATGACCTGAGTAATTCAAGTCCGGTGCAAAAACGCATGATCGCACGGGCGTTCCAGCCTGGGTTGAAAATGGTCCAGCTGTTCAACGAGCAGTTTTTCCTAGAGGCTGAATTTGGAATCAAGTTATGTTTGGATTCTCCTAAAATTTCAGCTTTTTTTAAACTTTCCACGGGACCGCACGTGAACTGGGGGCATACCTGCGAACGTTGACTGAGAACATCCCTTTAAAATTTTCGCTTCCCAGCTTTCCTGATTCCCGAGTTAGCAATTCTTTCCGACAAAAATTTTCATGGGGTTGTACGTGAGCACATATGCCGAAGGCTGAATTTGATGACTTTAAGCTGTGCAAGACCTGGGGACATCCCTTTAAAATTTCAGCCTCCTAGCTTCCCTGGTCCCCAAGTCAGCGATTTTCGAGCCAGGAACCCTTATGGGCAGCTGCATGAACGGTTTCACCACAGTGCATGTTTTTGCGTTTGGCGCAGGAGGGCTAACTGGCTGCTGGAGAGGTTCTCCTCGTTGCTATTATTATCAGACGGCGCAACGCTGTGGCGGATTGAGCAGACTTCCGGATGCGCAATTGAATGCTCTGCTGAATTTGTGCAAATTTGACAGCACTCTAGTGATTCGAACGCGGGAAAAACGCAAGTCTGGGGGCTGAGTTTGAAATCTTTGAGTTCTATGTGGGCGAGAGACATAACCTCAAAATCAACGTTCCAGTTTTTTTCGTCCCCGAGTTAGCAATTCTCCCATCAAAATTTTTACGCGCTCGCACTCCAGACTTCCGTGAGGGTTGACACCGCGGTCCTGGGGTGGTACTTGGCCGGAGAACCCAGCAGCAAAGTTTTGGTGCCGGAGCTTGCTTGGGTGCTGAGTTGAAATATCCGGGCAGACGCACACACACACACGCACACACAAACATACACACAGAGACAGGATCGTCACAATATGCGTTTTTGTAATTTGCGTACATGCAAAAACGCATAAAAAAGGGAAAGTTATGCGAGTTGAGGAGTCCTTGGGAAAGCAGAATAGGTTATCCCCGAAACGAAAAGCATACCAGCATAATCCTTTACTTCGTCGATCTCGGAATCTTTTTGTCGTAGGTCGTCCACTTTTCCGGCGCCTTTTTCTTGCAGCTCTTCGACCTTCTCGGAACCTCTTTGTTGTAGGTTGCTTATTTTATCAGAACTTTTCTGTCGCAAATCGTTCATTTCCTCGGTACCTTTGTGCATGGCGCTTTGAACGTGTTTCACGTCCTGATCAGTTCCCGCTTTGATTCCGCTCTGACTCACCTACGGTGTTTTTGGAGTAGTAAGCTCGAATTACCAATGTTATGCTTATATTTGTAAATAACCTAGACTGGAATGCACCGGGCTTGCTGGTGCGATCATGCGTTTTTGCAATAACCCCGCAGGTCAATAATAGCAAAAATGACCGCTGTGCTATGGGCTCATATTGGCCGTGCTTTGGCGCCTTCCGGCGTGCAGGAGGAAGGGCGTTGGTTGGGATGAGGGTGGTGCATTATAGAGTCGCATGAACCTCCAGGTACACGATTACTAGTTTTTTGTAGCCCGGTCGTTTTTTCAATAAATACTGGCTTTTTGGAAAAATGAAAAGTGCAAATTTTTTGAAAGAATGCTAATTTCCAGTTCACTAAAAAGTGACAATGTTGCTAGCACGGTCGTCTGTTAAGAAAATCCAAGTGTGCAAATGAATTGAATGTTCATTTAAATTTGGATGAGGGCATTCATTCACTGCAAAACGCACTCGTTTCTTATTTTTCGGTAAAGTTGAGTATTTCTTGCGTCCACTTGCAGGGAATTTCACCCCCAAGCAGAATTAAGACCGCACTTGGAATACCCCACCGAATTTTCAGCCTCGCACCATATCCGGTAAACGAAATATCCACTTTGCTACAAATATCTTTGAAGTGCCATAAGTAGTGGCGTAAATAAAAATCGGTAGTCATTTCAGGTATACGATTTCCCACATGGGCGTCAAATATGACGGCAAAATTTTAGCTACTAATTTTCAGCAAATTTCAAGTTACCACAATACCAAGTTACAAAATTTAACGCGATCTTACGCGCTACACAAGCGTGCATGGCAACTGAATTTGAAATCTTTAGCTGGTACATGCGCAGACAATATTACTGCAGATTCTCAGTTTTGTACCTTACCTAGTTCACGAAATCGTCACCCACCAGAGAAACTTGCATAATTCTTTCAGGGGCCGTAAAGTCTAGGCGCATTTGGAGGAAGATCTTAAAACGGGATGGTGACACACGAGGTAGGAATATATACCCAAAATTTCAGACTTCCAGCTTTCTAGTGGATGACAATGTTCACTCGCTTCCGAACGCACCCACACAAAAGGTACGATCTCTCGACAATGTGTGTTTTTGCTGGCTGTAGCTATAGCGTTGCATAGCAAAAACGCATAAAAATTAATCTATTTTTGATTTCGACACCAATGTTTTGAATTTTTTGATTTTCAAATACTTTCAAGATTCGAAAAAGACCGCATTTCTTGGCGGAAAAGGGAGGAGGAAGTTGGTAAGAAGTGCTAGAAATGGCAGGTGTACTGAAAAACATCTAGAGCAATTGCACGAGATAAGGAGATGAAGGTTTTTGCTTCAAGCTTAACAAGCGAGACGAAAACTTGAAAAAAGACTCGCAGGAGAGAAGTGGTGGCGTGTTTCGTTGAAGACCTGACAAGTAGGCACTAAGTAGCAGAACTAATCGTTCCTCAGCATTTTACCGCTGACCAGAATGACCTTTTGATCAAGAATCTCCCTCCTTCAGCCTCAGCGCGAGATAATGGCACGTTGCGTCTAGTTGTAAAGCTTTGATTCGCTTTAAACAAGCACTGGGAGCTACTTGTAGGTTATTATCACTAGGGTCATTTTCGAGTAGCTCTGTCTGCCACAAAATGAAGGAAACAGCGTTTAGCTTTTAGCTGTAATGTGAATGTTTAGCTAGCTAATCGAAGCTGGAAAATCGGTCAAAACCACTGGCAAAGGTGTGTCCAAGGTACAACCCAGGCTGAACTAGGCGGGCCGGAGCGATTATGCGTTTTTGCACTTCTCGTACCATAGCAAGATCGCAAGGAATCACAGTAGCTAACCCTGTGACATACTGACCCTCGAAGTTCGGGAAGT